TATTCTATTCTATTCTATTCTATTCTATTCACCAGCGACACGGACTACAGACCTGTCACCTTCAGCTCCACCACAGCCTCGTCGTAATCCAAGTCACAGCGAACAAAGCAGGTGTAATTCCCTCTGTCAGACAGTTGGACATGGAAAATTTTCAATTCCACGCTGCCCTTGGTGAGGCCATCCTTCAGCAGCTCGGTGCGCCCTTGGTATTGAAGCATCTGCTCCCCATACTGGTCCTGGCCCTCCTTGTAGCGATGCACAAAGGGCGAGACGCGTTCCCGAAACCAGATCACCTCTGTGTCCTGCGTGCTCCGCTCTGGGGAGAAGCGACAGGGCAACACCACATCCTCACCCATGGGCACGGTGATGGGGCTAAGTGGTCCCGTCACATTGAAGGGAGCTGGGAGAAACACCCGGAGGAAGAAGAAACAACCGTGATTTTGCTGTGGCGATTGAGCTCGGAAAACCAGCAGATGCTGCTCCGCGTGGTTTGTACGCTGCTGGGCCGTGGCATCGCGTTGGGAGCGTAATCACACCGGGGAGACGAAGCATTGAGGGGAGGGTTGGGAGAGGGACCCCTGCCATGCAGCACGGGGAGTGGGCTGGGGCCAGGCCACTGCCCGTTTCTCTGCTTCCCCGTCCTACACTACTGGGAAAGTTCTTCAAATCCCTAAAAGATTATTTGTTCTCAAGGGGACAAGCGCTGCCCGTGCTGCTCAGGGTGGGGAGAAAGCGGGATAAAAAAGGAAGGAAGTGGCTGGAAGGTTTCCGGGTGGTTGGCTGGACTAAGCAGACAACTTGGGTACAAATAAAACTCAAATATCCTCAGCTATTCGCACCTATTACAAGAGAAAATAAAAACGTCTCAGGTGCTCTGGGCATCTTTGGCAATTTAAAAAAAAAAGTCTTATTAATAAGCCGGCCACTCAACTCACGGAGAAAGTGGTTTCTGGTTGTAGGAAAACAAAAGCAAATCAACTTTTTTTTGGCAAGGTAACGTTCAAGTCAACTGTTGTGCTGCATGCTTTTGCCAGGGCTGCCCTGAAGAAGCCGCGTCAGGGCAGCCATCTAACAGAAAAAGAGCCCAGAATATTTTTTAAAAGATCTTTTGTTGTTGGTTTTTCCCTTTATTGAATGGGTTCTGCGAGGGTTCAGCGCACCCCGGACACAGCCCAGTAAAGCAATGACATGCTGGGGACATGCTGGGGACATGCTGGGAACAAGGAAAGTGGGGATGGAAATGGCAGCAAACTATAATCAACTCATTGGCATCATCTAATCTCCACGCGAATGCCTGTGCTGACATGGCCAGTGGAATAAACCAGGATCCAGAGGGATGCTGGCGCTCTCAGAAGTGGACAAGGTTTATGGCAAAGGTCCTGACCCCGCTCTGGGCTTTGCCGTTCACGGGGAGTAGCTGCACTGGCAGCCGGGAAGATATTCAGGCTCAAAGCAATGCCACAGGGATCAGCAAGGACCGTGGGGATCCCTACCTGACCGCAGCTCGTGAACTTGGAAAACTAAACCAGAAATGAGAAAAGCCAGCAGAGAGCAGTGGAGGCGGGAACCGGAGAGCATCCTCTTCGCTACTGCACAACCTGGAGATGGGGAAGGAGAGGGAAAGGGCAAAGGGGAGGAGAAACAACGGAATACAAAAAAAAGGCAGAATTCACTTTTACAGGGGTTTATTGCTGATTGCAGCCCCTTTTTGTAATGTCTAGGGAAGAGCCTCAGCTGCCAAGGTTGAAATCAATTTTCCATCATCAGCCTGACTTTGCTTGGTGCTTTACATACAAAGTACCCAACAAAAAGTTGTAGGAATTTCCCACGGGGAAACAAAGGACAAGCTGCGACATCTCCTCCAATTCCATGAAAAAGTGGCAGTTGGTTTAATACGGAGCCCTTGCTTTTCTTATCCATCCCTAAGAACGAGATGGAAAGGCACAGGACCAAAAGGAGAAACCCAGGCTGAAAGCACGCGGAGCTGGGGCTGCGCGCTCCTCCTCCGGGACAGAGCTGGGCCTCAGTGGCGCAGCCCCTGCCACCGCACCGAGGGCACGGGGGTCCCAGACCAGGGAAAGCAGAATAACCAAAACACTAATTCAACACCCAGTCAAAACGGGACCTGGCCCTGCTCTGAGCCCCCCCAAAGCCTCTTACCACTCACTGACTGAGTCCCGGCTTTGTTAACGAGAGGTGAAACCCGTGACCGATGTTGGCAGACGGCAGAAAGCGATTTCAATCTGCAGCTTTCTGCGAGATGCCGCTTACCTGGGGGCCCCGAGCGCTGTCATGGGCTGGGGCAGGAGCTGCTCATCAATCACCCGGTGCATCTGCAGGGCCACCCCGAGCCGAGCTAAGCATTTCCCTGCATCAGAACGAAACAAAACCGTCACACTCCGTCCCAGCCTGCCACCCGTTTCCTCCTGCGTCGCTTCTGCTCCAAAATGAAAGTTGCTGAGTAATTTGGGGGTTTTTTGGCAATGCTTTTGCTCCGGAAATGTTCTGGCAACGTCCCCAGGCCCGACCCTGCCACGGCCGCCTTCCACGGCT